AGGTGAATGCCAGTCTGCCACATAGTGAGTTAAAAGCTAGCTTACATTATGAATTCCTGTTTTAAGCAAAAAGAAAAGAATGAATGGCTAAATTTGCTTGCATTCCATACATCTTTCTAAGTATTAAAACCTGAAGTGTAAATGGCTCCAGATAAGAGAATACAGGAATGAAATGATTATTTGAGGAGAAATGCTCTATCCACATTAACTATAGCATTCTTTTTGTTGTTTAATTAAAGTTCAGATTTATATCTTGCCCACTTTCAATTACAAATACTTAAATATTGATACGGTTAAGAATTTAATGTAGGGCTGGAGAGATGGTTCAGAGGTTAAGAGCACTGACTGTTCTTCCAAAGGTCCTGAGTTCCAGTCCCAGCAACCACATGGTGGCTCACAACCATCTATAATGAGATCTGGTGCCCTCTTCTGGACTGCAGGTGTACACGCAGGCAGAACACTATATACATAATAAATAAATCTTTTTTAAAAAAGAATTTAATGTATTAACTGATTATTATTATTCAATATACAGTAACTTCAGTTATGTTTGTTTTGTTTTATTACTGATTTAAAGACTCATGGGATCTGTATTTGAGTGAACTAGCAGTTTTTATTGCTAGCCATGCTTTACAGATTACAAACCAGAGCTTGATTCAGCAATGATGTAAAATCATGTTGGCAGTATTAAAAACTGAAGACATGGTGCAGCAAAATTGAGTAGCATCAAAAGATTAAGAACATTTTTGGCATAGAAAAGCAGCTTATATAGTAAGCCATATCTTTGATTTGGTTTTGTTTCTGTTCTTAAATATTAGATATTTTCCATTTTGGTTCCCTACATTGACTCCATTTACTGTGACTTCTGGACTTTTCCGTAGTGTCAGAAGACAATTAAGTGCAAGGCATTAGCTATTTTGTGCATTGTTATTTGCCTACTGTGAGGTGGAGCCTTTTTTAAAAAAGATTTATTATGTGTACAATGTTCTGTCTGCACGACAGAAGAGGGCACCAGATCTCATTCTAGGTGATTATGAGCCACTCTGTGGTCACTGGGAATTGAACTTGAGACCTTTGGAAGTGCTCTTAACCTCTGAGCCATCTCTCCAGACTGCAGTGGAACCTTCTTTTCTTATTTTGTTCACTGATAGTAAAAAGGTGCTTTCCTCAGGACTGACAGATTGGCATTTGGCTTCTGCTTTTAATAAATTTATGTGTGTGAACTGATAAATTTTGAAAAGTTATGCTGAAAAGTATCCAGCTTATTATTTGAAAAGCTTAACATTGCCAATGTACACAAATTGTCACTATCTAAGTTAGCGATTGTTACTTATTTTTGGTTAAAATAAAAACTAAACTAAAATAAAATTTGCATTCAGAGTATGCAAACTGAATATCTTTAGTTAAAGGGAGTATTGTTTAGTCATCTAAGTTTGCGGATATTGTCTTTAAGAATTTACTTGGGAGCACATCTTGACGTTCGGTTTATCAATGTAGAAAATATTTACTGTTTGAAAAGTAGAACTTTCTAATATTCAAGTAATCATGTTTTATATTTGACATTGTTTTGTTTCATGTCCTGTTCTTTTGGTAATACAGGATAAGCTTTATTTGCAATGTGATTTATAGTTTTCCTTGTATTGCTTGATGATAGGAGCCATCATGCCATCCCTAGTCGATGGTCAATTTAAAGTTCCCACGTGGGACAGGGAGTTGGCTCATTAGCGTGAGAACCTTAGTTGTGACCTCCAACACACACTTAACAAAACCATACATTGTAATACACGTCTGTAGGCTCAGTGCTGGGGAGGCCAAGACAAGGGCATTTCTGGAGTTCATTTGCCACCAGGGAATCGAAGAGTTGTAGGCTCAATGAGAAAACCTTTCTCAAGAAACATGTTGGAAAGTGATGGAGAAAAACAGTCAATGTTGAGCATACACATGTGCAGGTATACCCAGCTAAACATATGAAAATTACACAAAACACACACACACACACACACACACACACACACACACACACACGCCAATTGCTTCAAGTTTTAAGATGGTTTACTATTATTTTACAATTAAGAGCTTCCTCTTGGCCACTATTTCTCTTTCCGCTGTGTAAAAAGATGAAAGCTACAGTATAGATATTGAATTTGCGTCTATGAGGACTAAATGAACCTTAGGGAATATCTTTCTCTATTTGAACACAGTAAAAGGAGATAAATATTTAAAAGACTAGCGGTTGAAAAGATACCATATTTTATGTTTCTGGCCATGAGACTAAGATTTAGCTCTTCGGCTTCTTTAAAATAATGAAAATAATGTTTAATTACATGTTTATGCATGTTTCTTTAACTACTAATTCATTAGTTCACATAAAATTGTTTCAATTTTTAACCATCAATAATTTTAGTGCTTCTATATTTTCATAACGTTTTGTGTCATTATGGAAGTTTAAATTTGCTCTCTACATTTTTTTTTATTAAATCATGGCTTCATACATAGAGTTGGAAAGTACAACTGAGTAATACTTATGAGTATAAATGAGATGGGTCTTGGGAGATAGCTCTGTCATGTTTAAGTTCCAGACTGATACAGTAAAGGAAAATTCCAAAAGCAAAAACTTAGTGTACTTATAATCCCAGCCCCAACGTAGTAGAGACAAGGGGCTCGCTGGCCAGCCAGCCTGAATACTTACTGTGTTGCTGCTGCAGAGCAGTGAGAGATTTAGTCTCAAACGAGAAGGTGGCCGGTCCCTGAGGGCAGCACTGAGGTTGTCCTCTGTCATCCACATGCTCTCTCAGATGTACATTGACTTGTACGTTAGTAAGAAGTGACTAGACAGCTGACACAACTGGAATTTTTAGTTCACCTCACTAATTTTCTATTCCAGCTTTAAGGAAGAAAACAAGATTGACTGACTAGAATGTACACACACGATTGTGTCCTTTGCCTGGAGTGGAGCTCAAGCGTTTTTAATTCCAGCACTCAGGAACCAGAGGCAAGCAGATCTCTCTGAGTTGGAGGCTAGCCTGGTCTGCATATCAACTTGCAGGCTAGCCAGGGCTAACATAGGGAAACTCTGTCCCAAAAAAAAAAAAAAAAAAAAAACTAAAACAAATAAACCAACCAAGGTAAAAAACCAAAACAGTATCCTCCCCAAAGAAACAGCCCACTTGTATTCTTTCCTAGTTCTCTTTTCTCACAGACTTTTGTTCTCCTTCCTCGTAGTCTTCTCTGAAGACTGTCCCTGTGAGAGGAGTTACTGCTTCACTGCCTGGAGCACTCCCCTGAAGCTAACTTCTTCCTGTAGAAGAGACACTTAATGCAACTCACTTGAATGTTTTTAAATAAGAATGTTAGCATTATTTTATTTAAAAATAAAATAAAATAATGAGGGTCTTTAGGTCTTTCCCTCCCTCCCTCTTCCTCTTTCTCTTTCTCTTTCTCTTCTTCTTCTTCTTCTTCTTCTTCTTCTTCTTCTTCTTCTTCTTC